ACAAACTGGACTGGTCGACTAACACGGACACCCTAATTAGGAAAGGTCAGAGCAGACTTTTCCTACTCAGGAAACTGAGGTCTTTTGGGGTTCAGGGGTCACTCCTTAAGACTTTCTATAACTCGGTGGTGGCCTCGGCCATCCATTATGGCATTGTCTGCTGGTCAGGCAGCATCTCGGCCCGGGATAGGAAGAGATTAGAGCGACTAGTCAGGAAGGCTGGTTCTGTCCTGGGCTGCTCCCTCGACACTCTGGAGGAGGTGGGCAACAGCAGGATGCTAGCTAAGCTAAAAGCTATGTTGGACAGTCCCTCCCACCCCCTCCAGCCCACCCTGACAGCACTCGGTAGCTCCTTCAGTCAGAGACTGTTACACCCGCGTTGCAAGACGGAGAGATACCGCCGCTCGTTCCTACCAACTGCTGTCAGGCTGCTGAATAAAAAATGAATAAATAAATAAATCATAAAATTATTTAAATGATATGACAACAAATGTGAATGTGAATAGTACTGTGACTATTGTATTTATATTGCACTTAATTGAACTTATTGACCTTATCCATATTTTTATTTATATTGCACTTATTTGAACTGTGTTTTCTTTTCTCTTCTTTCTACCCACAATCTTGCTGCTGAAGGCTGTAAATTTCCCCAGTGTGGGACAAATAAAGGATATCTTATCTTATCTTATGAAATCTCTTGCCCTCTTCAGTATTAATGGCCTGCCAGAAACATTTAAATTTCCGTTACAAGAAACATTTACCCATGTGCAAAGGTTAAATAAAATCATGAGCATTATTAAGTATATCGGTGTATTCGAAAGAGCTTGGCTTGAAAGCGGATGACCTTCTTTTTCACTGCGAGGGTTAAGTCACGACCAGGTCACTGGATAGTTAAAAATTAATTTCAAGTTGAAAAGGTTTGGATTATTATTTTATTTTAATGTGATTAGTCACTTTCAAGTTAAAAAAAGTAATAGTTGATAGATAATTTTGTCTTCTTTCATACTGTTTTTTTTTGTTTTTTTGTTTTTTTTTGTATGTGTACTTGCATACACGTACAAGGGCTATTTACCAGAGATGGAAGTCCTCCGAATTTTCCCGGAATTCCGGGTTTTTCAATTTTTTATGAAAATTTCTCCGGAGAATTGAGGAAAATTTGCATAAAATTAATCCGGATATTAGTTGACAACATTGAACGAAGACGCGTTTGAGTTCGTTGTATTGCTTTCACGAGCGTAGCCATATTGAGGCACTAACACTAGTAACAGTAAAGAGATTTTTGTTTGTGTAATAACGACAGAAGACATGATGGCGTTTGACTAATGGTTTAGTAGAACAAATGGCAACTCGCAACAACAGTAGCAAGCGTCATTTTGCCTCTTGGGTTATACCATCTCAACTAGAACGTGGGGGATAGTCCCCAAACAATTTTCGTCTCTTTATAAACACACCTGCTAAACCCCAGTGGAACGAATAAAAGACGCCGTCAACAAGACAGTTGTCGTAAAATATATATTTGGCCAAAAAGGGAAAACACAGATTGGCAGAAAATCGTGTCCGTCCGACTTCGAGTGTCGTCTCGGCTAACTTAGCTTAGCTGTTGTTGTGTGTGACGTCATTTGCGTCGACGCTGATTGGTTGAAATCAAAAGACGCGCTTGCGTACATGTTCGCGCTGAAGCACGCACATCAGAGAGCAGCGGACTATCTACTGCTGAGGCTCGCTTAGCTTGAGTGGCGTCGCCACAACAGTAATACCTCCCATTCTCATGGCCTCGCCATATCTTGGAGATTTCGAAATTTTGGCCCGAACGGAAGCCACAAAGGGTACACGTGTGTGCGCACAAAAGGAAGATTAATCATTGAATGTCGAGTATTTGAATAGCGTTTTGTGTAAACTAATTCATGCGTGATCGGCCAAGTGCGTGTGCGTGCGGCGTGTGTGCGTGCGTGCGTGCGTGCGTGCGTGCGTGCGTGCGTGTGTGTGTGTGTGATATATATATATATATATTTTTTTTCCGGAATTTTCAGAAAAGTCCACTTTCATCTCTGATTTACCATAAATAATGTCTACCCATACAAATCAAAGCCTATATTAGTATTTACCTATTTAACTGTAATTGATATTCATGACTTTATTTACAAAATAGAACTTGCTAAAAACACTTCTGTTCATGTGTTCTTATCTTCTCACGCAGTCGTATTTTTTTTTTTCTCAGTCCAGCGCTGTTGAATGGGGTCAAGCAGAAACAACATATAACCTCTATGAGGTGCTTTTCAAGGTTCACAAGGTATGCCAGGTGTTTTTGATGAAAATTTGGTCGGGGCATTTAACGAAATTATCTTGATTGCCCATGTTTTTTTTTTTGTTTTTTGAAGGGGGCAGAGGTGTTTTAATTCTCCAGACTTACAATACTATTATGACAAAAAAAAATTCTACAATACCTTTAGAACAAAGGAATTTTATTTTTCAACATACAGCTACATTCCATTTTGTCTCAATTTCTTCAAAACAATTGGGATGGGGGAGGGGGGGGATAAAAAGACACCATAAAACCAAAGAAATGAAAAACAAACCTGTGGAATTAATCTTTTAGATCAGGGGTGTCAAACTCACAGGCCACAACGTAGTGACCATTTCCCTTGGAGGGCCGTTATGACTGTGAAAACATATAAAGAAGTCTCGAACAATGGTTAATTGAACGATTGTTAAATTAGTTCAGTGGTTCTTAACCTTGTTGGAGGTACCAAACCCAACCAGTTCATGTGCACATTCACTGAACCCTTAAACTAATTTATTAAAATCTGAAAAAAAGTAAACTGAATTAGTGTAAATATAAAGTATACGTTTTTTAATTGTGCACAAAATCAACCAGCCAGTGATAGTTGAGCGGGCGTGTTATAACTAATCGACACGTTGAGTCGGGTTTGTTTTATCCTCTATGGCAGAGGCTCTGTCGAACCCCTGAGACTGATTCACCAAACCCCAAAGTTTCGATCGAACCCAGGTTAAGAACCACTGAAGTTGTGTAATAAGGGGTTTGGTAACAAAAAAATGCATACAATATCTCGCTGATTTATTCCATATGAGAAGTTGAAATCTTAGTACAGATTTTAGCAATCATCATAGAAGTTGACATGTTTGATTTGCTTTTGCGGGCCACATAAAATGATGTGGTGGGCCGGATCTGGCCCCCAGGCCTTGAGTTTGACACCCGTGTTTTAGATGATCACTGAACTAAGTTCTCTTGCAATGCAGTACACACTGGCTGTTGGTGGTCTAGATTTCTGACTTTAGATGACCTAGTTTTCTAAAAGAAAAATGATGGTCAACCAGCATACTGTTCAATTTATGAGCTTCCATTGTGTTCTGAGCAGTGGTTCAAATAATACACCCGGCCAAAAGTTTGATGTTTGTCTTTCCAGCTGTGGATGACAGAGGACTGCTGGCTTCAGGCAAGACTCTACTTGGGTCTTGAGCATTCACTTGAGCAGCAGGACAATGAGTCTCTGTGCTTCAGCATTCTCATCGGCCATGGGCAGAGCCACACCTTCAGAGCAGAGCTGGCCTCTGACCTGGCTGTCTGGGAGAAGTCCTTCCAAAGAGCTGTCTTCATGGAAGTGCAGCGGGTACGAGTAAGTATTTTATTGAATTCTGTCAATCCAGGGCGCTTTTACTCATTTTTTTAGGATGATATATTTTCTCAATAACTATCACGATAGACAACAGTATTGTTGATGTGTTTTTATGCCTCTGATATAATGATGTTGGAGCAGAATAATTCAAGGACTTATTTTTTAAACATGCCCAGTGCTACACCGGGGCTAAGGGGTGCTATAGCCCTCTCAGAAATCTGTCTAGCCTACTTTTGGCCTATTTATTTATTTATTTCATCTTAAGAGCATGAAAACATTCACAAGTAGCCATTCTGTTCCACTACAATTCCTAATCTCGTGTTTGTGCTACAGCAGCACCTAGTATGGAATTGTGAGGGCAGGAAGGGGCGGCATGAGTCTTTCAGTTACTTGGGTTAGCGTTAGTACACGTTCAAACACATGTGAACACAAATAACTCATAACATATACAATCACAGACCCCCTCTAGTGGCAGAGGAAAATCAGATGGCTTTTATCTCAGCGATCCCCAACCTTTTTTGCCCCACGGGCCGGTTGAATGTCAGATAATATTTTCAGGGACCGGCCTTTAAGGCTGGATAAATACAGCAAAATAATATGATATGACCTGCATGAAAACTGTGGTATTTTCTAAACATCACCATAAACACGAATCATGACATGAGGAATGTCCAATCTGGCCGCAACACGCTCTGGTGGATATGGTAACATTTAAACGTGCCTTCAAAATAAGATACACCACAAATACAATGTGCATGACAAATACGACTCGCCATCGCTGCATATTATGCAGTGTGGGCTTGGTGCGTAGAAATCTCCCGTTGAGATAAATTCATATTTCAAGTAGGACTCCTGATACTGTCTTTTAAATGGAGCATTCTTTTTCTTGAAAGTCGTAGCCTCTTCTTCTGTCTCCTGGCTGGGCCTTTTCCCCTCCCAAAGACACTTTTCAGAGATGTTTGTTTTTTACTCATTTTGCTCACTCCTCGGTTTCATTTTAGCGGTAACCAATCACGTGATCGAGAAGCGCGCCTTGACCTGCGTCAAGAGTGACATACTGACGGATGAAACAGAGAATCCGGTAATTTTTCAAAATAAAACATCTTTCAGATTTCAAATGAATAAAATGGAAGTAATGTAAGTTATTTATGCTTTCTGTGCATCCCGGTACCAAATGACCCACGGATCGGTACCGGCCCAAGGGTTGCGGACTAATGTTTTCTCATTCAGAATATCCTCTTGTTGTACAAGGCTAGAATGGCTATTTTAAAAATGCACATTTTTCAGGCTATTCGTACGGCCGATCAAAAGTCGGCAGCATTTCTTTGTGGTCTCGCAGGAAGTTGTCCAGATCGGCCTTCTCATTAGGGTCGTAAATTCGAGATAAGGCGTTGGGTTTGGTATTCTTGGAACCTTTGCGGTAAGTTAACGTAGAATTGTATCAGGTTAAGTCTCTTCGCAGAGCAAATGTATGCTATGTTCTTATGATCAATGTACACTGTGAAAGGTTCCTATGTGCCTTCGATCCAATTACTCCATTCCTGTAATGCGAGAACTATTGCAAGTAACTCTCCGTTCCCAACGTCGTAGTTGTTCTCAGCCTGAATGAGTCGACAAGAGAAGGAGGCCCAGGGGTGAAGTCTCTGGAGTACTGGGACAACATAACCCCCACTACTAAATCCGAAGCATCCACTTCTAAAACAAACAGAATCTCAGAGTTAGGGTGGTGCAACTCAGGCGGATTCGTACAGGTAATCACGCTGGTTGACAAACCAGGATAAAACGAGAAGAACTTGCAAAAGCCAAGGAAAATACAAACAGAAACAGCTTGTCTAAAAAGGACACGAGGACCAAAACACGTATGATAAAAAGCGTGAATAACTTTACTAACCAAAAACTACTATTTACATGAAACAAGGCATAAAAAAACAAGGAAAGAGAAAAACGGAACAAAATGTGGGAACATCTGGGAACAAAGGCTTAAACAAGACGAATTATATGACAGCCAATTGTTGGCTTGAAAGTCCTTAAATCATCCGTTGATCATGTTAAGCAACAGCTATATCTGTTATTGTATGGGATGTCACTGAGTCCCAACTAAAAATATTTCATAACAATATTTTAAATTCAAACCACTGATGTGCATGCATTTGTTGGGTAGCTTTCATTTTGAAAGTGGCCAATGCCGCTCATCAATAACAAATTACCGTAATGCAGAGCATGAACAATTGCTGTGGCATTTGGCTTGACTTCAATGTTGCGAGCGGAGGCTGGCCTAACCGCAGTTGTAGCACCATGATCGGTGAAAAGTACGATGTTTTGTCTTTTTTTACTTATTTAGGGAATGCAATCCAGGCTAAAACCTCGTCTCAGATTGTGCGATTTCTAATTTATGGTGAGCAAGTCATGATCTTTCATTAAATCTTTGTGCACGGTTGAACTTGTCTCGTGCCATTTCAAGTTTCTCGAGCGAAGTTAACTTAGCATAGCTTGCTCCATAGCACGTCTTCTTGGCAAAGCAGAGATCAAGTTGTGTGTACCGTATCCCTGCCAGACATTTATTATTAAGATAATCAATCCCCAAAACATTAATTTGTGACAGCCCTAGAAAATAGAAAAAGAAAGTGTTTAGGATTATTCTAAAAATGAAGAAACAAACAAGAAAGTTCACATCCAATAATCTGCTCTTGAAAAATTTGCCCACAGGCGCATATTCTGCCGAATCATTGTTTACAGCAGCATTTTGACGTTGGCTTACAGCCGTCTGATTCTGGGTTTGAATTTTGGCTCAGACATCGATGGACCTCCGCATGTTTCTCAAGGTTTGTTCCGGTTTCCCACTATCCCCCTTTGGTCAGCTGAAGACGATTCTGACAACAATTAAGTTGAACCTCCGAAAATATCACAATAATTTCTGTGAGGCATGACCACTTCAAAGTTTGAAAAAATATGTCTATTATAATTTAAATGATTAAAGCAAGTTTCAGCACAGGCACGGAAATGACATTCCTTTATTTGTTATTATTATTGTTGACTGTCATTGTCTACTAAATAAACAAGCTGACTGCATGCCTCAGTGATATTATGTTCTGAGATTTGAGACTTAACTGTAGGGCTGCTCTGCCATTGGCTGTCACGGAGCATCATCCTGGCATCCCATTGGCTAAGAGGGACCTCTACCATTTGTGTGTTGATAGCAGCATCCTCGTCATTTGCCCCTTGGGCCATGAGGCGTTCCGATAGTTTTACGTAAATGTAAATCACCCAGAAAAAGTGCTCACCAGTCGGCCGATCACTCACTATGCTGATGTTTGCCTCGGACATTTTCGAAGGATTGTTAAAAGCCGACAAAAGCAATCGTCCTTGGAGCAGTTCTTTACAAAACACCAGGCAAAAACCACTTTTGAAAGAGGAACTGGACTAAAGAGGGTAAAAAACGATGAGGATGCAGTTAAACTGGGATAGTGATGAAGAGGAAGAGATTTCAGAGACAGAGGATCTTTCAGAGACCGAGGACAATGTTATTGATAATCCAGATTGTCAGCATTCCAATGATGAGGAAGATTCAGAGGACAAGTCTGCTGCTGTCTCTCCAGTGGATGAAAACCAAAGAATGTAGCAATCATCCACAGAGGGGACATGGGCATCTAAAGATGGTAAGATAAAATGGTCAACATCACCACATCAAAGCCAAGGCAAAAAAAAAAAAAAAAAAAAAAGAAATCCTGGTCCTACAAGATTTTTCATTTTGGTGATCCAGTTTTTCACAGCCTGTGTTCCTTGTTAGTATAGTGGACAGGTGGATGAAAACCAAAGAATGAAGCAATCATCCACAGAGGGGACATGGGCATCTAAAGATGGTAAGAAAAAATGGTAAACATCCCCCCATCAAAGCAAAGGAAAAAAAAAAAAAAAAAAAAAGAAATCCTGGTCCTACAAGATTTTTCATTTTGGTGATCCAGTTTTTCACAGCCTGTGTTCCTTGTTAGTATAGTGGACAGTATCTCGATTCCCTGATGGGGAGTTGTGCTTTTCATCATTTTGGGAATGCTGTTTTTCACAGCAAATCAAAAAGGAGCAGTGATTGTTTCCCCCCATTTTCAAACTGGGGACCTACTGTGTGTGAGACGAACGTGAAAACCACGACACTATGGAAACAGACCACACAAGTGTGATTCATATCAGGGCTATCAACCCAGCTAACTGATAGCATGGCCGGTGTCTTGGCCAGTAGAGCTCCTTTCAGGTCTGTGTTCGTTGTTAGTGTAGTGGACATTATCTCTGCCTGTCATGCATAAGACTGGGGTTCAATTCCCTGACGGGGAAATGTTGTGATTTTAATTATTTGGTGATGCACTTTTTCAGAGCAAATTAAAAAGGAGTAGGGATTGTTTCCACCCAGTTTTGAACCAGGACCCTTTCAAGTATCAAATATGAAGTACAACTTTATATTCAAATGTGCTGTATGCATACAGCACAGATGAAATTTTATTCCCTCTTAAATAGACAACAGACAACAAGAGGAGCCGCTGCGGCTGCCCCCACCACCATCAAAAGAACACTTAACATAAAATGACAAAATAATAAAACACAACACATAAAACAGACAGTCGGAGTATCTTAACCACTTTTCCTCCATTCACTTTGTTGTTTGAAGCAGTACCGTATTTTCCGCACTATAGGGCGCATCAAAAAGTCTTCCATTTTCTTAAAAGCTCACCGAGCACCTGAAAATACGGTGCGCCTTGTTTAAGGTCATTACGGTAATATGTCAACTCCGAAAATGGCTCCTTGCTGGAGACATGGTTACAATGTTATAACTTGCCATTGGTTTAGGGAACTGTGTCGCTGCTTTATTAAATACGTTTTTGTTGCGGCTCCGAAAAAAGGAGAGCTGTGGTGTTGTTTTTTTAAAACAGTCTCAACAAATGCAGGTATGTCTTTGTCCATCTCCGTGCCTTCTGTTCTTCAGTTCAACTCGGGAGGTGTTCAAGACCGCCTCCGAAAAACGTAAACTACCGATTACTTCAATGAAACTACGAAAATTGAAAATAATACATCAAAACTGAAAAGCAAGCGAGGATATCACAAAAGAAATTCGATAGCCCCCCTACATAATTTATATTGTGATTTCATCATTTGTGAATACACAAAAAGGGAATAAATGACTACGACAGTAAATATTCTCTAGTGCGGACTCGTGTTTGCGCTGTCCAATTTGTCCTGATAACAGAAATTCCTCATTTGGGAAATGAGCATGGTACATGTCCTTTATGAACCTGCAAGTATGTTGACAAAAATGCACATGTAACAACACAATCAATAAAATACAAAAATATACTGTCCAAAAACATTATATAACAAAAACTGCAATACTGGTGTATCCAAAAAAATGACAGTAAAATATGTACAGTATTTTAATGTTTATTTTTTTTCTGTCTTGGGGAAAAAAGTGTGTCTATTTTGGATTGTTTGGTTGGATGCATTCTTTGGTTTATGACAATGTTTGCCTGCGTGTCATACAGTTTTCTTGCGAGTTGCAAGTAACTGTCCCGTTGATCACCGATGTCTGGTAATTCTTGTGCATACTGATGGATTTGTTGCATTGCTTCCTCGCTGGATGGTGGCTTGTCATCAGGATTTGAATCGATCGAATCTGATGAATGTAAACGGCGAAGCGAACACGTTTCTTCGATCCTATCGAGTGGGTGCTGCTTTTAAGCTAGTGCCGCGTTCTACAGGACGTTAAGTGAATAAAGTTAAAATCATTCACAATTACAGTAAAACGCACGCCAATAAAAACTGACTAACACGTCGTCGTTTCGAATCTGATGATCGAAAAACGCGAAGTGAAAATGTGTCTCGGTGTCGTCGTTCCGTAGCATCGGATGGGCGTTGCGTTTATTTCAGCTCCCGCGGCATGACGTCTCCATCCGGGTTACGGGTAGTGGAATTTCCGCTTACGTAAGTTCCGGTAACATGTAATATCGTAGTCAAAATGTTAATGCACAGGCTTTTGTTCCGGGTGAAGGATATTCCTTTTCATAGAATTCCGGGGATGGGAATATTTACTGTACTGACATATCTGATCGTTCTGATGGAGCTATGATCAAGGAAATGCCCATGCGTTTTTCGGAGGCGGTCATGAACTCCTCTCGAGTTGAACGGAAGAAGGCACGGAGGCGGACAAAGACTCACCTGCATTTGTTGAAAAGAGCTGTGGTTTTATTATTTTTTTAACGCAGACTTTATGAATGGTTTTCACAGTCTCAACAAAAACAAGGACTAAACACAGCAAATAAAAAAGGAGTCATGGTTTTTTTCCACCCAGTTACAAACTGGGGATCTTTCACGTGTTAGACGAGCGTGATAACCACTACAATATGGAAAAAGGTGACAACATGGTCTTTCATATCAGGGATCTCAACTCAGCTAACTGATAGCATGGCCGGTGTTTTGGCAGGTAGAGCTCATTTTAAGCCTCTGTTCCTCGTTAGTGTAGTGGAAAGTATCTCTGCCTGTCACGCGGACGACCGCAGTTCAATTCCCTGACGAGGAGATGTGTTTTTAATTATGTTGGTGATGCAGTTTTTCACAGCAACTAAAAAAGGAGTTGGGATTGTTTCCACCCAGTTTTGAACTGGTGACCTTTCGTGTGTTAGACGAATGTGATAACCATTACAAAATGGAAACGGATGAAAAATTAGTCCTTCATATCAGGGCTTTCAACCCAGCTAACTGATAGCATGACCAGTCTTTTGGCGGATAGAGTTTCTTGAAAGGCTGTGTTGCTCGTTAGTATCATGGTCAGTACTTCTGCCTGTCACGTGGCAGACTGGGGATCGATTCCCTGTCGGTTAGTTGTTGTGACTTTTATCAGTGTGATGATCGAGTTTTTCAGGACAAATTAAAAAGGTGCAGGGATTGTTTCCACCCAGTTTCGAACTGGGGACCTTTCATATGTGAGACGAATGTGATAACCATTACAATATGGAAACAGATGACAAATGAGCCTTTCATATCTGGGCTGTCAACACAGGTAACTGATAGCAGGGACGGTGTTTTGGCGGGAAGAGCTCTTTTTAAGCCGGTGGTCCTTGTTAGTATAGTGGGCAGTATCTCCGCCTGTCTGGCGGAAGACTGGGGTTCCATTCCCTGATGGGGAGTTGTTGTGTTTTTAATTATTTTGGTGATGCAGTTTTTCCACAGCAAATCAAAAAGGGGTTGAGATTGTTTCCACCCAGTTTCGAACTGAGGACCTTTCATGTGTTAGACGAACATGAGAACCACTACACTATGGAAACAGGTGACAGCCCGGTCTTTCATATCAAGGCTGTCAATTCAGCTCACTGATAGCATGGCCGGTGTTTTGGCAGGTAGAGCTCCTTTCAAGCCTGTATTCCTCGTTAGTATAGTGGACAGTATATCCACCTGTCACGCGTAAGACCGTGGTTCAATTCCCTGACAAGGAGATGTGATTTGAATTACTTTGGTGATGCAGTTTTTTACAGCAAATAAAAAAGGAGTCGGGATTGTTTCCACCCAGTTTCGAACAGGGGACCTTTCGTGTGTTAGACGAACGTGATAACCACTACACTATGGAAACAGGTGACAACACCTTCTTTCCTATAAGGGCTGTCAACCCAGTTAACTGCTAGCATGACCCAGTCTTTTGGCGGATAGAGTTACTTGAAAGGCTGTGTTACTCGTGAGTATCGTGGACAATACTTCCGCCTGTGACGAAGAAGACCGGGGATCGATTCCCTGACGGTTAGTTGTTGTGACTTTTATGAGTGAGGAGATGATGTGATTTTAAATACTTTGGTGATGCAGTTTTTCACAGCAAATAAAAAAGGAGTCAGGAGTGCTTCCACCCAGTTTTGAACTGGGGACCTTTTGTGTGTGAGATGGACGTGATAACCACTACACTATGGAAACAGATGTCCGCAGGGTTTTTCTCATCATGGTTGTCAACCGAGCTAACTAATAGCAGGGACTGTTTTGGCGGGAAGAGCTCCTGCTAAGCCTGTGTTCCTCGTTAGCATAGTGGGCGGTATTTCCGCCTGTCACGCGGAAAACCGGGGTTCGATTCCCTGGCGAGGAGTTGTGTTTTTAATTATTTTAGTATCGCAGTTTTTCACAACAAATCAAAAAGGAGTCGTGATTGTTTCCACACAGTTTCGAACTGGGAACCTTTCGTGTGTTAGACGAACGTGATAACCACTACACTATGGAAACAGATGACAACACAGTTTTTCATATGAGGGATGGCAACCCAGCTCATTGATGGCATCGGTGGTGTTTTGGTGGGCACAGCTCCTTTTAAGCCTGTATTCCTTGTTAGTATAGTGGACAGTATCTCCATCCTTCACGTGGAAGACTCGCGTTCCAGTCGGGGAGTTGTTGTAATTTTCATCATTTTGGTGATGATGGTGTTTTGGTGGGCACAGCTCCTTCTAAACCTGGATTCCTTGTTAGTATAGTGGACAGTATCTCCACCTGTCACGTGGAAGTCTAGGGTTCGATTCCCAGACAGGGAGTTGTTGTAATTTTCATCATTTTGGTGATGCAGTTTTTCACAGCAACTAAAAAAGGAGTCGGGATTGTTTCCACCCAGTTTCGAACTGGGGACCTTTCGTGTGTTAAACAAACGTGATAACCACTACACTATGGAAACAGATG